AACATCAGGGCATTTTATTAAATGTTAGATTTATATATAGAATAGGATTGCGTAGATACATGTTTGCATTTGTCAAGAATTGAAATTTGACTTGGTATAGTTTATGTCAGAAAGAAACAGCATTTGAAACCTATTTTAAGCATAAAAAGATACCACAGAAGTTGATGGGAACAAAGAAAAATCTGAATAAGTAATCAGACAAACTATTGTCTGGGGATATCAATCTTTTTCTACGAAAGAGCTACCAGAGAGATGTGCAAATGTAACGACCGCAGGGTATAGTTTTATCTCTTTTATAATCCAACGGAAGTTAGGAAAACGTCTGGAGTACTAAGTGAAGGTCAGGTTTACATCACAGATGTGTATAATGGGCCACTTGTAAAATGGAAATAAAATACAGGACGGTATGGATTGTGAACAGATTCATGTAGCACAACCAATACGTTATTATTTGCGTGGACAACTCGTATATATTTTACACCTTTGTCTACATACGCTTCACTGGTCATTTGCCTGATGAAAGTGACAGAGCACATACCGTACTAGTCATCGATATTAACAGTTATTATATGACTGGTGCTAATTCCCATCCCTGATTGGGGGAGCGACGTCATGTGACGAGTCTGTAAATATGTTACCGCCCTCGTTCTATGGATAGAAAAAGTGTTACAGACCTCGACCTATAAATAGAAAAGTGTAACAAACCGCTACTAAAGTGTTACTATCGCATAACAGCCAATCAAAACACGCCGTATGACGCAATGTTTACATGACAACAAGCAATATGGTAGACGGTGTACGCTTCGCAGCTCTTGCCCAGGAAGAAATAGACAGAATTCTTAATGACAATGACTCAAGAAATACAAAAAAAACACTACGGAAGCTGCGGTACGTCTGTTCCGTTCGTATATAAAGCACAGGAATGGTAATGAATCGTTTGAAAGCTATGAAAAATCGGAGCTTGACAGTGTGCTTGCGAAACTTTTCGCTGAAGTGAGAACGGGAAAAGGAGAGACTTTTAAGAAATTAAGCCTGACTTGAATTCAACACGGGTTGAACAGGTATTTAGCAGCAAACTGCGAATATGACACCGTGAATGACAAAGATTTCAAAGAGAGTTCTGTAATGTTCAAAGATATGTCAAAGGAACTTAAGCGAACTGTTATAGGGTCTGTCGACCACTTTCCCCCGATTGAACAAGATGACCTGAAGAAAATGTACGAATATTTTGACTTGAGTGATCCAACTCAGTTACAAGAAAAAGTGTTTGTAGATATCATGCTATATATTGGTCGACGAGGAAGGGAAAATCTACGTAACCTGAACATAAGTGACTTCGCTTACAAGGCTGATGCTACTGGACACATGTATGTTTACATCGTGACTGACGAGCTGACGAAAAACCACCAAGATGATGGAAATTCAGCACACGGGAGAATGTATCAAATGGAAGGTGTGTAAAATTTGGAAAACGTGTACAAGTAACATTATCTAATTTTGATTTGTAATTCAAAAGAAGCATGAATGTTAATGCATTGCTATAAAATTATCTTAGACTACACAAATATTCCCGATGTGTTCAAAGTATCCATTCAGACAAGGTAACATAATTTGACTTTGAAAAAATAATTCAATGAATTTTTTGGATATTTTTTTACAGATGACCAAAACTGCCCATTAAGGAGTTTTATTCTGTATAAGAATCACCTGAACCCCAAGAGTTTGTTTTTTTCCAACGCCCAAAACAGAAGGTCCTAACTCAGACAGGCAGCAAGATCTGGTACGACGCGTCCCCATTAGGCCACAACACCTTGGGCGGAATGATGCCTCGCATTAGTGTTGCTGCATGTTTGTCATCGCGGTATACAATCATTCACTAAGAGCCACGGCTGTGCACTTGCTTGACAGTGTGAATTTCGCAGGTCGGCATATTATGTCAGTTACTGGACACAAAGCAGAAACCAGCTTAAAAACATACACCGGTTATACAGATGCCAATACAAAAAGAAAAATGTCTAAACATATCAGTGATAGTGTTCGCCCAGATAATCATAAGAAACCCAGGACGGCTTCAAACATGGCAAGTCATCCCGCGTCAACTTTAACCTCTGGTACTGTAGATATTGATCTTGGCAATTGTGAACGGGAACCCATGGGTGCAAATGTTTTGACCGATTCTCAGTATGACAACATTGTAAATGTGCTGGGCGACTTTGACAGCTTTGGTGATGTGATAAGAAATCTTGATTGCGATGAACTACATGTAGATAACAGCAACATTGAAAATGTTCAGTTACATCCTAGATCAACTCCATTTAATTATATGATGTCACAAACAAATAACAGCTCAATGCCTTTCCCATTCCCAGTTTTAAACAACTAGTAATTGCACCATTAACTTCAACTTCAAGTAATAAAAAAAAAAAAATGTACAAATCACACTCTGAATTCTGAACTATGTAATGTTGATTGTGCAAATGACATGTATTTGAAAATGAATATCGCATGAATTGAATCTGAAATGTGTATGTTATTTGTATTCGAAGTACTCCACTCGGTGATTCCAAAATGGTCCTTACTATCCATGTATTTTTGACATAAGCAATTATTAATTTCATTGTAAAATGTCATATAATAAAACTATTGTGGACTTCAGTTTCGGTCTATCCCTAAATCAGGGATAGACCTCATCTGAAGACCATAATTGTATATTATTGGTTGTGCTACATAAATCTTTTCATACAAAAAGAATAAGTGTATATCCTCTTTAATTTCCTGAATCATTGAAAGTATAGATTATTTATTTATCTATCTACGTATTGATTTATTAAACGTTTAACCACAACAAAAATACTACAAAACTGGTGATACAATATATGATTGTCCTTGCTTATATGAAACATCCACCATCGACTGAAAACAATCACTGTTAATATGTTTGTATGATACCGTATGTATGTTATAAAAATACCTTAGTTTATTAAAAAAAAAAAAAGGTAAAAAATGAAATAAAACAACAAATCATAGATTTAATGGCGAAGATATAAGAACTCCATAGATCCATGTAAAAAGACGTCAGCACCAACAGGGGACACAAAAACAAAATATAAAGATACCATGATCTTACATTTGACAAAGACAATTTATATCAAAATGCTCAGATCACGTGACATTCAGTTAATAGGGTTAAACACATCAGCACTACGTACAATAGATATTACTCAGTTAATTGGATCGGCGGGAATACAGGTTCTGCAGTAGCAGTGGTCGCACCTGATTGCCAGAACGGTACTTATCTTTCCCTGGAAATGGTACATTATCTCATTTATGGAAATAAATGGCGTGATGTTGAGCATGCCGCCTAGATAGTTGACCGCTAGACACAGACCTTTAGGGGAGAAGGTCGTCGTTAGGTCATTCTCAAACGAATGTACTATTTATTTGACCTAATCGCATTCTACAAGTGTTATTTATCATAATAAGGCGGGCTTGTTAATGCTTCATTAATAAAATGGCCATGTTTGTGCGCGATGGTCGCAAGGCCATATGGAGTACATGTAGGCCGCAGCCATTAACAAACCAATACACCACTGCATATTAAACTCGCTCTATCTGTTTATTTTGTATCCCCTTCAAAGTGTAATATTTAATGCGAAACCATTTGAATTTTGTGCGATACATCATGACTGATAAGTATCTGTTGTTCTTGATTATTATTATTTTTTGCCTTAATCGGTGAATTAATGGATACATTGAAAACACTTTTTATTTTCAATTCAGATAAAGATTAATACTAAGTACGGGTGTGATGTAGAATATGTATCACTTTGTTCACACTTTTTTACAATTCAGATAAAGATTAATACTAAGTACGGGTGTGATGTAGGATATGAAAGACTTTGTTCACACTTTTTTTCAATTCAGATAAAGATTAATACTAAGTACGGGTCTGATGTAGAATATGTAAGACTCTGTTCACACTTTTTTTCAATTCAGATAAAAATTAATACAAAGTACGGGTGTGATGTAGAATATGTAAGACTTTGTTCACACTTTTTTCAATTCAGATAAAAATTAATACTAAGTACGGGTGTGATGTAGAATGTGTAAGACTTTGTTCACACTTTTTTCAATTCAGATAAAGATTAATACTAAGTACGGGTGTGATGTAGAATATGTAAGACTTTGTCCACACTTTTTCAATTCAGACAAAGCCTAATACTAAGTACGGGTGTGATGTAGAATATGTAAGACTTTGTTCACACTTTTTTCAATTCAGATAAAGATTATTACTAAGTACGGGTGTGACGTAGAATATGTAAGACTGTTAATTACGTGTAAATACTATACACAGTTTGTGCTGTTATACTTGTTAGCAGCTACAGAAAGGTCAGCAGATAACGTCGAGCTATTGACCTTTGTACCCGTCACTTACATTGGTCGATAATAGATATTGGCTGGAATAATAACAACTGGTCAATTGACCCTGGCTGGTCAAAGATTGGTTAGCTTATCCAGGGATTTACTGACTAATCTATACTAAACACCGAGAAATAGAAAGACCGACTGACAGACAGACAGACACAGCATTGGTTTATTATTGACGAAAATAATATGGCGATTATTATTCTTTGAAAACAGTTAAACGATTTAAATGATAAAACATGTCTCAAATAAGGCCACGAACACATTCTGAATATGAAAAGTGTTCTTGTCGTATAAGGCCGGGAATATACGTGCAATAATAAGAACAACATTATATACAGAATATGTTGACAAGTGATCACTGTAACCATAATTCTGTACCTGCAACAAACAAGGAGATGTTGACTTACCTATAAAGTAATTTAAAAATATAAACTGATGCAGTGTCAATGTACATTCGAGCAGTCTATGTGTGGCTCACAAGCCCTGCCAATGGTCTGATTCGTGTGTCACTACACTTCGCAATGTTTGATGGACAATATGAAGTGTGAGTAGACCATCTCTTTGAACGGAGCTTATGGTGAACTTGGGTGAATCATCTCTTTGAACGGACACCTTGGTGAACTTGGGTGAACAATCTCTTTGAACGGAGACCTTGGTGAACTTGGGTGAACCATCTCTTTGAACGGAGACCTTGGTGAACTTGGGTTAACCATCTCTTTGAGCGGAGACCTTGGTGAACTTGGGTGAACCATCTCTTTGAACAGAGACCTTGGTGAACTTTGGTGAACCATCTCTTTGAATGGAGACCTTGGTGAACTTTGGTGAACCATCTCTTTGAGCGGAGACCTTGGTGAATTTGGGTGAACCATCTCTTTGAACGGAGACCTTGGTAAACTTTGGGTGAACCATCTTTTGAACGGAGACCTTGGTGAACTTGGGTGAACCATCTCTTTAGACGGCGATCTTGGCATGCTTTGGGTGAACCATCTCTTTGAACGGAGACCTTGGTGAATTTGGGTGAACCATCTCTTTAAACGGAGAACTAGGTAAATAATCTTTTTGCATCAAAACTTAACAGTGAATGCAAAATTTGGTTTCACTGTTTTTGATTTGTTCCACTAAATATTAGAAAACGAAAAAAGAAAACAATTATGTGCACACGCCTTAGTTGAGCATCTGATAACAACATCACAACCCCACCTCATTCCTATCCACCTGACTGTTATAAAAATCGCTGAATGCTGTTGATTCTTGGGTCGTAAAATGCATATGTAATGGAGATTGGTCCATATGTGATATCTATATATCTGATGGATGGAGGTTTATGTAGAATGCAGTGCGTAAACCAACGTAAGCTAAGCCGTATACGTATGGTATTCTCTGTTGTAAGATTTGAAATGAAAAGTGTGAGATTGGTCCATTTGTGATATCTGCAAAATGCAGTACTTAAACCAATGTAAACTAAACCTTATACGTATGGCAATCTCCTTTGTACCATTTGGAACGAAAACTGTAACGAAAACACTACATTTTATATAAATATCTAAAAAAAACCGCTAAGGACTAGCCTGTTAATGCCCGAAGTTCAGTCAGCCGTATCGCAGTGAAAATCTTTCGATCACAAACAGTCTTATTTCACCACCCTTTTATTCAGAAACACATTTCTGATGTTAAGGTGAGTTTAATTTCGAGTTAGACATTTGTGTGTATGCTGTTCCCTCCACGATGACTTACTGTGTTATATAATGTAGTATGTATTATCTCTGTTCTCCTTACAGGTTCTTGCGGTGTGGTACGGCTGATTTCGGTTTTTCTCATATATATGTTTTTCATTTAATCGTATTCCATTTTCTTTGTTGACGAATTATTTTCATTTTCTATCTGTAAGATTCTAATTTCTCTTACGGTCAATGTGAATAACGAATTAGGCAAATGATCAACGTAAGAACCGAAAGTAAATACTGTTATTGCCAATAACATTTGTATCTGTAGGACGTAAATCACAAAAGTAATCCGTTTGGAGCGTAGGCAAGAGGCTGTATGCGGACTACGCGACCGTACAACCCCATGCTGTTTACGTAGAACTATCTAGCCGCTCGTGAGCAGAACGTGCCCGGCACAGTATCGATCAGGAGTAAAGGGGAAGACCTATTAAAAACATGCATCAAATGTCCGATTGGCGTGTTATTGTATGTATAATGTCATTTCACTTGTCTCATAGGCTGGTCCTTTGCCATTTTATAATCAACAGTTTCAAAGGTTCGAAGAAGGATTAAGCCTGCTGTATCCCAGTGTATGTTACTGGAAGAGGCTACTAAAGTGGGCTTCTTGTAGAATTGGGGTTTCTTAAGTCCATTTCAGGGCAAATAGAAGAAACTGAGTATGTATCTCTTTGCTTCACTTTGGATCTCTATCATGTTTCTCTAATTTCTCTGTGTCTAAGATAGAGCTGTCCAGGGTAAGAAAGGGTTGTAAGAAATGTTTTATCTTACATCCCATTTCACGTGACGTGACGTCAATATGGCTCAACAATGACGTGACTTTACGAATTTGGAAATAACCGAAGACGCAATGCGGATAAGCGACGTGGTGAAATTAAAAACTTTTACGATGTGTTTACCGTAGGCGTTAGAAAGATGTTATTATTTTTTCTTCGCACACTGGTTTTGCAAATATGGGTATGCTAAATCTGGCTGACAGATTCATTTCGTTTAAAAAGCTCAGGGGGAAACTGTTTTTTGTTTTTATTGGTAACCAGTCCAAACGCATTGTTATGGTTTCTTCGATTATTCTGACAGTTGTAATGAGAGAAAAATACTCTAAAGCCTCGGGTTTTTTACCATATTTGAAAAACCCTCGGGTGGAATTTCCCTATCCTAACCTCATTGGCATCAAGGTGTCTTATAATATTCCCCTTCACTATTTTTTTCTCTTTTAATTTATGTCTACCAACACACACGTCTCTGTATGACCTAGCTGTTTAGGTGGCGTTAACCCTCCAAGCTCAAATAAACAAAAACAATTATTACTTCTGTCGGGATGTCCTGGTAGACAAATAAATCTAATACGATTTCCTTTTGAATTAATTTCTCCTTCAGTGTGTCTAGACTAGTAATATGTCTAGACGAGGAAAACGTTGATTGGACGATTTTGGTAGAGCAGTGTTAAAAAGTGAAAAATGTTCTGCATGTATCTAAATTAAAATCTCTCCAGTTTTCCTTGACTGACGAGACAGTGTAGATAATGTAATACTTGTAAAAAAGAAATTGAAAATAGAATGAACAGTTCTGACGTATTGGTCAGTACAGTAATATCACTAAGAACAACCTGACTACAAGACTTGTGACAAACACCTGACTACAAGGCTTGTGAGAAACACCTGACTTCAAGGCTTGTGACAAACACACACCTGACTTCAAGGCTTGTGACAAACACACACCTGACTACAAGGCTTGTGACAAACACCTGACTACCAGACTTGTGACAAACACTTGACTACAAGACATGTGACAAACACCTGACTACAAGGCTTGTGGTAAACACCTCACTACCAGACTTTTGAAAACACCTGACTTAAGGTCTTGTGACAAACACCTGACTAAAGGTCTTGTGACAAACACTTGACTACAAGGCTTGTGACAAACACCTGGCTACAAGGCTTGTGACAAACACACACCTGACTACAAGGCTTGTGACAAACTCACACCTGACTACAAGGCTTGTGACAAACACACACCTGACTATAAGGCTTGTGACAAACACCTGACTACCAGACTTGTGACAAACACCTTACTACAAGACTTGTGACAAACACACACCTTACTACAAGACTTATGACAAACACCTGACTAACAGACTTGTGACAAACACCTGACTACCAGACTTGTGACAAACACCTGACTAACAGACTTGTGACAAACACACACCTTACTACAAGGCTTTTGACAAACACTTGACTACAAGGCTTGTGACAAACACTTGACTACCAGACTTGTGACAAACACCTGACTAACAGGCTTTTGACAAACACCTGACTACAAGGCTTTTGACAAACACCTGACTACAAGGCTTGTGACAAACACTTGACTACCAGACTTTTGACAAACACCTGACTAACACACTTGTGACAAACACCTGACTACAAGGCTTTTGACAAACACCTGATTACAAGGCTTTTGACAAACACCTGACTACAAGGCTTGTGACAAACACTTGACTACCAGACTTGTGACAAACACCTGACTACCAGACTTGTGACAAACACACACCTTACTACAAGCCTTGTGACAAACACCTGACTTAAGGTTTTGTGACAAACACATGACTAAAGGTCTTGTGACAAACACCTGACTACAAGGCTTGTGACAAACACCTGACTACAAGGCTTGCAACGATTGTATGACTGTAAATATTCCTGATATCCTACTAGAGGTCTGTTATGATTAACGACTCATCATGTCTTAAAAGACGTATTTGAGATTTGTCCTTTCGTTTTTGTATCTCCAAAGTAGTTGGAGCAATGAATATGTCTCTTCGATCATTTCGATTTTGATTTCAAATGTGGTCACAATTTCTTTTAAATCAACATTTGAAGACCGTTTGATATGTGTTCTAAGAGCCAGGTTGTAACCAAGTCTGTGCATCCGTAAGAAATAGTTCGTATTCTAAATTACCACTTCCACCGATTCCGTAGACAATGATACCAATACGCTATAAAGCTTTTAATATGTATGTAATCCGAGTATACTTAAATAAGAAAATTTCCTAAATGTTCTGACCTTGAAATTGAAATATATTGACATAGATTGTAAAGCGAGGACTTCGATACTTTAGTTTACAGTTGTGTACAAAATCTATAGACACATTGGATGTCACGCAATGCTATTTTTGTGTCTGTGTTGAACGTACTAATTGCGCAACGTTTTGAATGTTTGGCATGTAGTTGATTCCTGCTAAGAATAATTTCTCCCGAGTTAAATTAATGATTTCATCATACCGTGAAAATTGCGAAAATCCCCCGGAGCAAAACTACAAGGAATACAGTATGTACAGATAAACATACCCATAATCGGACCAGAGGGTTCCACTCGATACACATATCTCTCTGCACACTTGAATATGTCATGTCAAAGTCAAACTTCGCTTTGAGCTATGTGATTGGTCTCGGGTTCAAAAAATCTGACCAATCGCTAGGCTGATACATGTACCTGTCATTTGAAAATTGCAAAGGTGTTACACCCAACTGTAAAACCTGACCATTTGCCCGTTACGCTGCCGCACAATTCCCTTTATCGTCATCAAAAACATCAGACTAGTCGACTTATATCGTCTACACGGCGACGCGTAAAGATCCTTTAATTTTGTTATGAATTATTCAAGGAGTGCAGAGAAGATGTGTGTAACGAAAGCAGAAACCTCGGAAATCAAAGATGACCTGTGTTAAGAGATCCCTTTTAACGTTCTTCATTAGTGTGAATTGTTAACGAACTTAACCTGTGTTATCAGACCACTAGTGTCAAAGGAACACTTTATGTATCTCGATAGAAGTTTGACCGTATAGACATATATTTGTATAGTGTATATAACCCTGTATACAGTATAGATAACCCTGTACACAGTATATATAACCATGTACACAGTATATATATAACCCTGTACACAGTATGTCTTACTCCGTACATTGCATATAGTATATAATCCTTACACGGTATAAATAGTGTAATACCCTGTTGCAGTATATTACGCCACATATAATTAATAATCCTGTAAACAATATATAACCTTGTTTAAAGTATATACCCTATATGGAGTGTATCACTATACTACTTTGTATACATATGTATACATATATGATATAACCTTCTGATACGGTATATGGTATAATTCCCTATATAAAATATATTGCCCCGAAACAATATATTGCTATGTTTACAAAATTGGTTCCTGTTTTTATTTTAATCTATGAATGGCT